TTCGTGCTTCGGCGGGATACGTTTGAAGTTCTCCTTTTTTGAGATACTTCAGGATGGGAGTGAACCAGCATGGTTCATCCTCCTCGGTGTATTGTACTTCAGTGGGTGAAGTTATCTCCGGCTGAGGTGATGTGAGGAGCGTCACCTTCCGACTTCCGATGCTAGCCATGGAGCTTCCTAGTCTAGCTAACTTGTCAGCGTGGATATTGTTGGAACGGGGTACTTGTATTATCTCGTAGCTCTCGAATTTGGATAGGAGAGTGTGTGCGAGAGCTAAATATTTCGCCATGGTGTCTTCTTTGGCCTCGTAAACTCCGAGTACTTGGTTAACGACGAGTTGAGAGTCGCTTTGGATTAGGAGCTTGCGCGCTCCAGCTGCTAGGGCGAGGCGGATTCCCGCTATCAGGGCCTCGTACTCAGCGACGTTGTTTGAGGCTGTGAATTCGAATCGTTGAGCATATTCGAACTCATCTCCATCAGGGTTCGTTAGGACGATACCCGCTCCCCCTCCTGTGGCAGTGGACGATCCATCGACGCTGACGGACCAAGTTGGAAGAGAGGTACTTTCTTCTACGGAGGTCATTTCAACTAGAAAATCTGCCAATACTTGCGCTTTGATAGCCGGGCGGGGTTTGAATTCGACCCCGTATTCGCTTAGCTCTATCGCCCATTTTGCTAATCGCCCGGATGTCTCAGGACTTCTTAGTATTTGCTTCAGAGGATAATTGGTGAGAACCACCACTTGATGCGACTGGAAGTAAGGTCGAAGCTTCCGAGCTGCGTTGATGAGGGCGAGAGCGAGTTTCTCCATGTTGGTGTAGCGTTGTTCGGCTCCTTGGAGGGCGCGACTTATGTAGTATATGGGTTGGTGGCCTTTTCCTCCATCTCGGATGAGGACTGCGCTGATGGCATTAGCTGAGGTAGCTAAGTACAGTAGGAGGGTGTCTCCTGGGTGAGGTTTTGTGAGTAGGGGTGGGGATGCTAGGTACGACTTTAGCTCTGTGAATGCCTTTTGACATGCCTCATCCCACTCAAATTTCTTTCCTCCCCTTAAGATTTTGAAGAAGGGTAGGGCCTTGTCCGCTGATCGAGAAATGAATCTATTCAAAGATGCCAAACAACCGTTAAGCTGTTGGACTTTTTTGATGGATGTTGGTGGAGGCATGGAGGTAATTGCTTCGATTTTTGCGGGATTAGCTTCGATTCCTCGCTGTGAAATCATGTATCCCAAAAATTTACCACCTCGAACTCCGAACGAGCATTTGAGGGGGTTGAGTTTCATTTTGAGTTTTCGCAAGGTAGCGAAGCACTGATCCAGATCGGTTAGGTGATCTGAGTTTGACAGGATCCTCTAAGTGACCTCAGCATCAGCTGCCTGCCGTCTGTCTTATTTCTTTGCGATTTTTGTGT